TGAAAAAGTGTTTCTGCGTGAAACTGGTCCCTGGTACAAAAAAGGTTGGGGACCACTGCCTTAAGGGGACAGCTCTCATTCCCAAACTAACTATATACTGTCTAACCGGCGCATATAGGGTCTCCTCCTTAAGCAAGGAGTTGGACTAGAAGACCTCCAAGGTTCCTTCTAGCTCTATTCTGATTTATTAATAAAGTTGCTATGTTGGGAATCAGTGAGAAAGGAGCAACATTTAAGCAAAAGTAATTGATAGGGAGTTAACTGGCATTATGAAGCTAATGTCTGCCATAGGACAGAACCCCAATTCATAAGGCACATTCCAGAAAAGTATATTCCTGAATAAAGTGCAAGGAGATTATCAAGATCCCCAGATCATTCTTTCATTAGGGAGGGCTCACTTACATGTTGCATTTTGCTTGGCTGAGCAGAGCAGGCCGCTGACATTCAGCATCCTCTGACTTTGTGGCTTCTCTAAAGTAAATTGGTCTTTGGGCTTTTTTGCTAGATACAAGGGAAGAGGAAGGAAGTCAGGAACAACATCCAAGCAATTATCTAGGGAAAAAAAACCCCATACAATTTCCCCTCCCTTTTGAGGCATGTTGTATATAACACACCGTAATGTTTCTTGGGCCTTTTTCTCAAGGAAGTCATGACATATTTCTCCAGTGCCCGTAAAGTTGATGCTTTGAGAGATTCAAAGTCTATTTCAATTTCTTCAAGATTTGAATCCCTCAATGATGGCTCTCTTGACTGAATAATATAGACAACTCTGCCAAGCTTGTCCCCTGGGAGTTTATTTATGTTCAGGCTTAATTGCCTCTTTTCATCATAAGTCATTGGCTTGGCAGTATCCTCATCCTCACTCTTGAATCCTGCAAGTTCTTCTTGCTGCTGGCTTTTCTTGGAATGCCTGCAAGAGAGAGAATAAACAATCATTAACTCCGAGACCCAGCAGCTTTCGGTACAAATTCATGCCAACAAGCAGCCTTACAAAGACATTTTTTTCTTCAGCTGCTTCATTTTTCTGCTTTTCTGAATCGCAGGGTTGATTTTTGCTTTGTTTTTTCTTTTTTCTTTCTTAGATTTTCCTTTCTTCTTTTTTAATTTGGGCACAGATGTTTTAGCCAAAGCTTGCAATTGCTGGTGAACAGCTTTAAGCTAGAGAGAGAAACAGAGAGAGGAACATGAAAAACATCTGGTTTCTTGAAAGATACAGTGTTCTGTGAGTGTTTTTGAGAGTGCTCTAACCTGAGCAATCAGTGAAACAACTTATACTGAACCAAAGGTGCTTTTTAAAAAGGCACCTGGACTTTGTTTTTCCTTGAAGACATTTTGCTTCTCATCATCCAAGAAGCTTCTTCAGCTCATGAAGGAATTGGAGAACTTCTTGGATGAGAAGCAAAATATCTTCAAGGAAAAAGTCTAGTTACCTTTTGAAAATGCACCTTTGGGAAAACCATGACCTGGATGACTGAGAATCTCTATAGAAACTTATACTGTACAATTATAAGGGGAACAGAGACGTATTTATACTACAGGTAATTGTATTGCAGGTAATCTTAATTTAAGGTCTACTCATTCAGTAATTATTCAAAGTTCTGACAGCACTGAATAAGGGATACTTGGGACTAGTATCATGCATTTGCAATTTGGGCACTTGGCAACTGGCTTGCAATTACATCATAGTGTCCCGCAGTTATGTGATTGCCATTTATGATTTTCACTCCTCCCTCTCCTGCTTTCTAGTCTGGTGTGTTAGCCACAGACCAAATTGTTCCACTTAGGATGGTGAGAGAATGATTACATGTTTGTTGTTGTTACGCCTGCCTGCAACTTAGGTTCAAGTGAAATTGGCAAGAGACAAGATTTAGTCTCTTTGGCTGCCAGATCCAAAGAGCTGCCAAGGAACTGGTTGGTTTTAGATAGCAACAAGACTAAAAAAAATAAGTAGTCAGTCAGTAAAATTTTCTGCATAACAACTGAGCTTGAACACTAATGCCAAAGGAAGCGTTGAACTGTATTGCCTTTTTAAAGGTTGGCTTGGATAAGGAAAAGGCTGAGTAATCCTCCAGAGACCAAGATTCCAGCCTTTTGAGTTCACTAGTTCCGCCAGGCAATTCTTGTACCTGAAAAAAAGCTGTATATCTGCGCAGTTGATCTTTTAGCGCAAGCAGTAAAGTAGAGCTGTTCTCAGCCTTTGCTTCTGAATGCAGAAATGCAAATTTGCCTGTTCATGTCTCAAATTGACTCAGGTTTTATTGGTTCTAAAGTAGTGAGAGGAATTGCTGGTGGAGCATTGATAGTACACCTGGTTAAAGGGGTTTCAGTAGGAAGTAGATAAGAAACTGCTTAGATCTATAGCCAAGAATTTCACCCCCCCCCTTTGGGTACTGTATCCTAAATTTGGAACTAGACATTGGTGGGGGGGACAGGATTATTCAAAAGAGCCCTAAACTTAAAATGAAATGCTAGCAGGGAAGCTTAAAAACAATCAGGAGGGCTAGTGGGCATGTCTTCAAATTATTCCTCTTCTTCGCTTCTCTAGCCTGCAGTCCAAGAATACTGAGATACCATTTAGCATGGTCTAAAACTTGCATGCCTTTGCTTCCCCATCCTAATTTTTCTCTTACACGGAAATGATCAGTAATATTTAGGAAAACACGATTTCTATGAACACACAGATGGTGTGTGTGGGGGTGGAAATATGGCTCTTGTTTAGCTGGAGAGCAACTTCAAGTATTATGAAACATGTATAGACTTTTTTTTTAAAAAAAGAAAAAGTGTAACATCTTGCTCGAGAAAAATACCCAAAGTGATATTTGCTCCCAAAGAGAAGAGCAGGTATTAAAGCAAACAGAGGTTTGTTTCAATAGCTATAGCATTTTCTATCTTGGCTAATCTTCCTAATTATGGCTTCTTGCCTGTTAGATCTGAGGTGGATCGGGTCGAGTGAGACGCGAGACCATTCTGTGATTTCAGCTCTTTATTTGCAATAAGAACAGTCTGGGGAATACAAGCCGCGGCAGCCCTTCATATAGGGCTGGCTCGCGGCTCGACGGCCAATGGCAGCGCTTTGAATCTCCCGCGATCGGCACAGCCAATCGCGGTAGCTTCTTAGCGCTCCAATCACGGCCGGGGGGTCGACCAATCAGGTCGTTGTCCGTCGGGACCAATCGGTTTCGAGGGTTTGGAGTATGCTAATACAGCACATTGCCAGCATGAAAGGTTAGCACAGAACATAATTATTTACTAATAAATATTTCAGCTGGAATGAGTCTAAGTAAATCATGTTGAAAAACACCTAAACACTCCTTTTGTGTTCCTTCGGTGTGTTGATGTACAAAGAAAGGTTCTGAAAATAGCAAAGAAGATGACCTTGATGGAGATATAGAAGATCTGTTACCAAAGCGGTGAACAAACCTTAAGTCCACAATGGTCACCCCTCTAATTTACAGGAGTATATAAAGGGACTTCCAACTTACTATAGCCATTCTCAATAAAAGTAGATTTCAACCTTCCTTTAGGGTTGATTTTCTGCTCTTATATAGTGGTTAGACTGACAATTACTTATAATCCAGAGGATCAAGTAAGCAAAGCTGCAGTATAATGAGTGAAGCAGCACTAGTTACATCTTGTTGACTTTAACAAAAACTCTGATACATTATGCAATAGACTAGTGATCACATAGTGTTGTGAAATTACATAAGAAATTCACATTTTTCTCTCACAAAGTAGGAATGCAAATATAGAAATGCCTTGTTTTCTATAATAAGACAATGTTAATATAACAAAAAAATCTGATTATTTTTTCACCTCCTATTAGCTGTGTTCAATAAGGAAATTATTTCAACACAGTTCTTTCTCCTTTCTTACACATTTTCTCTCCTCTTACACCACAAATGATCCCATCCTTTTCACTAACCACAAATGGGAGCAAAATATAGCCATATAGAACTGTGGGAAGAATGTATTAATGTATATAACTGTTAGAAATATTGGATAGGGAATCATATGTTAACTAATCCAGGTCTCCCAAAAAAGAGACTTATTAAATACTTATTTAAATTGTAAACACATACGAGCAAACACACAAAACTCCATAAACACAATATAAACATAATGCTCACAGTTCAAACAAAGAGACTCAATCCACGTCACTTGATGTAATCAACCTCTTCTCCAGGGTCAACACATACACACCCACACCCCTCAAGTGTCACACATTAGAACCAGCATGTCCATCAAGCCCACACCAAGGACCCCCTATAAAACAATATCTCTGTCCTCCATTTTCTCTGTAGGCAAATCTCTTTGGGAATAAATAATTCTTTTTTCACAGCTGTCTAGATCTCATTTTTATATATTCTTGCGCAACCCAGGCTCAAGTTGGAACCCCAAATTCTGCTTCTGACAGAACTATGTACACAGCCACTTACTTGTTCTTGGAGCTCTTCAAAGCGTTTCGCTTGTTCTTTTTCAGAGCTTTCATCAGATGATACGTTAGAGCTGCTATCATTAGATACAGAAGTGGGGCTCCTTGTGGTGGAATGCAGCAGATGTCTACCAGCAAGTGGTTCATCTGGAATTCTGGCAAACATCATCTCAAAGACATCCTTCACAGAAGAAAGGTGGCTAGATTTAAAAACCTTCTCCATAAACAAGGGCTTTTAACCCAAAGAGCTATGTTGCTCTAGCAACACCAAATAAGCAATAGAGGCAGCCTCTGACATACAATAAAGAATGGAAGACATATAGATGTTCTATAAGTAGCTAGAGAAGAGATATGTATGTGTACTAAGTAGCTTGCTCTTCATCTACAAGCTGACCTACCCACTCTTGGCTGCAATGGAGGATATTGCATCATAATCAGTATAGAAGTTCAATTTAATTGCCAGTTGGGCAGGTTCATACAAATGGAACTCAGGGGATAACTTATTCTTTATTTCAAGTGGCAACAGTTCTCCAGCTATGTACTATGTTGCACAACAGCACTTGCTATAATTTGACTGGGATCCCAGAAATGTATTATTTTTCCCCATTGTTAATGATTCACCTGAAGTTTTCTTGCCATCGACACGATTTCATGATCTGGAGAATGGCATCTATAGTAGTTCATAAACATTAGTCTAATATCAGCAGCAAATTCTTGTGTATCTTTATATTCACAATTGTCCAGTTTGTTCTGTGAAAAGTAGAAGAATTCTTTCACCCCCAGGTATCTTATAGCAATATAGAGATATCAGTGCTCTGAATGAGAACATTGAATAAGCAAAATCACACAAAGTGTCAAGTTTTATGGTCATCAGTGTAACATATACAGTTCTGTATCCTCATATTTACAACACACATCTTATGTTCTTAATTTTACTTTCCAAGAGACAGTATTTCTCGATATGCCTTCCCAATTTGATATCCATATCACTATTGCAGCAACAGCTGGAAACACCTTTGGATTACCTATTCCATATCATCTTGCGTATATCTTGCTTTTCTACTATCATTTTTTTTAAAATAATCTTTTATCAGACCTTCACTTTCACAGGATCTGTACTAAAGCCTTTGATTTCTGCACCAGTATTGTATTACCATATGTTTTGTTTTAGTTTATACAAAGACAATGCAATGAATAACTACAATGGCATCACCTCTTGCATGACAATACTTTGATTCAAATCAGGTTGAGATATTCTTTCAGTCTCACAAATTTTGTTGGATGCCAGATACTACAGAAAATGACAGATTGGTGCTAACGCAGAAAAGTGATGGCTATCCGAATATTACTGGACACTCTGATTTTAAAATGACATAATATACAGGTGGTCCTTTACTTATGACAGTATTTGAGTATTTGAGAATTGCAGTCATAAGTTGTATTGTTTGTGGTTATACCCAAGTTTATGAGTGGTGGGTTGTTGTTTTTTTGCAGTGGTGGTTAAATGAATGGTGAAGTCATAAAGTGAGTGTGTGGTGGGATTCAATTTTTTTTACTACCGGTTCTGTGGGCGTGGCAGGGAAGGATACTGTAAAATCTCCAGTCAGAAGTGGTATTTGCCGGTTCCCTGAACTACTCAAAATTTCTGCTACCGGTTCTCCAGAACTGGGCAGAAGCTGCTGAATACCATTGTGGTCATTAAACATGCTGGTTTCTGGCAACAAATATAATCACAGTAATGTGACTAAAGGACACTGCAAATGGCTGTAAATACAGGCTAGTTGCCAAGCAACCAAAATGTGATTACATGACTGTCAGGGAGGTTGCTATTGGAACTTTGAATCCTGATTGTAGGTACCTTTTCTGATCCTATCATAAGTTTGACCTGTCTCTAAGCAACTGGTCGTAAATCAAGGACCAGCCATATAGAGCAATCAACTCCATTTATAATGTCGAACCTACTTACTTTAATAGTTCCAAGATCCATAGGACATTTCATAATATTGGGATATTCTTCAGGGTCCAAGGCAGTGATCTCTACTGGCTTGTAAAATGGCCAAGCATAGGCGGCATGCTGGTGTGACATCAGTTCTATAAGAATTTCATTACAGTATTCCAGTGGTTCTATTAGCTCTATATTTTCTGTGGGTTCAGTTGGCTGCCACAAATCTGATAAGGGTCCTTCAGACAGGAATTCTTCTCTAGTGGACAGCTTGATTGTTTTGGGTTCAAGGACCACTGGAGAAGATTCGCTGCTTGCAGTGATGGTTGCTGTAGTGGTATCAGCTTTCCTTTTCACACCCTTTTCATTACAGGAACATAGCTTGTTAAAGAGAGAATTGTACATTCAAAATCTGGTTTACTATCATTGGAATAAGACAGTCAAAATTTAATTAGAATACTCAAGTAGCTTTTTAAAAACCCTCCTCTTTCCCCAGATGCTATAGAAAGCTTACTTATATTTTCTTTGAAGCCATTTATTATTTTTTGTCAAAATAAAATAAAAATATTTTTTTTTTTCAAATATGTTAGAAAAATAAAAAAATACTTTTTCAAAATGTTCAGAATTATAAATTACTCTTTTGGCCTAAACACTATACTGTACCATCATTTCAGAGAGGAAGGAGACAGAGACAAAATGAGTAAATGAATGGATATAACGTTTCTTCGTTTAGTATACCACGAGGAAATGCTATATCCATTCATTTGTAAACATTAAATAGTATACATTTACATTTTTACAGTCTGATCCTACTAGACATATACTTCTTTTATCTTTAAAAGACCAGCTACTTCAAATAGTGAGTGCTTATCTAAAACAATCTTCCTCAAGGTGATGCTCTCTAGATCAGGCATATCCAACCCACAGCCTGCAGGGTATATGTGGCCCTGGACAGCTAGTAATGTGGCCCCAAAAGATAATAAAAATATTTTAAAAATAAAGGAAGCTTTTTATTTATACACAATTAACTATATTATATAATGTATTTTTCGGAGTATAAGACGCACGTTTTCCACCCTCAAAAGTGGATGGAAATATCTGTGCATCTTATACAGCGAATGTTGCCGAAACCCCGTCCACCCGCCCGCCCCCCCTCCCTTTGGCCTCTTGCCTCCCAGCAATTTTCCTCCTTGTAGCAAACAGCCTGCTTCAGTTTCAGTTTTCTGATTAGCACAAGCAGCTCATTGTCGGTTGGATCGGCCTCCCGAGGATCAGCTGTTTCAGGCTGCAGGGATTGCCATTGCCTATTGTCGCCTCCGCACGCCCCATTTTGGGCCTCCATATCCCATTTTCGGCCTCCGCACACCCCGTTTTTGGCCTCCATGCGCCCCATTTTCCACCCGTTCCGATCCCCGCCACCGGGAATGGGTGGAAAATGGGGCATGTGGAGGCCCAAAACAGGGCCTGCAGGGGCTGAAAATGGAATGCGAAGGGCGAAAATGGGGTGCACGGAGGCGGCAATAGGCTATGGCAATCCCTGCAGCCTGAAACAGCTGATTGCCGGGTGGCCGATCCAACGGACAATCAGCTGCTTGTGCTAATCAGACTGTGCTGAAACTGAAACAGGCTGTTTACTGTTTGCTGCAAGGAGGCAAATTTCTGGGAGGCAGAGGCAGATTTTTTTTTTCTTGTTTTCCTCCCCAAAAGCTGGGTGCATCTTATACTTCGGAGTGTCTTATACTCCAAAAAAAATGCAGTATGCAGCCCAAAATAATTTCTTTCCTTAATGAGGCCCAAGCAAGCCAAAAGTTTGGATAACCGTGCTCTAAATCAATTTGAGTCCAGTTCTTATCAGGCGATTACATACTGTGACTATTTCTACTTTCCATTTTCCAAACAAGAGGTTGAAGTGAACATGAAATCAACCTGACAGCTCCTAACTACTGATATATAAAGAACTGTATATATTTTTTTGTCTTACTTTGTTAACTGCTTCACATGATGGTCTGATACTTGAAGAAAGAGAAAATTCTGTGGTGTGCAGTTCTGTGGATGCTGTTTTCATTTGGAACTGCTTGACTTTTTTGGATTTTTTTGTCTGCTGAATTTGTAACTTTTTTGCATCAGATTGCTCAGCATCTAAGAAAACAAAGTAATAGTGTGTTGGTGATGGGCTCCTGGTAGCATTTATTTATTTTTAATTATTTGAGAATTTTATATTGCCGCCTATTTGCACATGGCGACTCAAGGCGGCTTACAAAAATATAAAAATCTCACATAAAAAACAATAAAACTAATAGAAGAGAGAATCATATAATAAAATAATAAAATAACCCCCCACCCCGGCGACAACACATTACACGAGCCATTTAATAGGTTCCATCCCTCTCTGCGTTCCTCAGGTCTCAGGATAACAGATAATTAGAATTGGAAGGGACCTTATGGGTCATCTAGTCCAACTCCCCACCCAAGCAGGAGACCCTATACCATTTCTGACAAATGGCAGTCCAATCTCTTCTTGAAGGTCTCAAGTGATGGTGCTCCCACAACTTCTGAGGGCAAGCTGTTCCATTGGTTGATTGTTCTCACTGTCAGAAAGTTTCTCCTTATTTCCAGGTTAAATTTCTCCTTGTTCAGTTTCCATCCATTATTCCTTGTCTGGCCTTCAGGTGCTTTAGAAAATAGCTTGACCCCTTCCTCTCTGGGGCAGCCCCTCCAATATTGGAAGACCGCTATCATGTCTCCCCTGGTCCTTCTTTTCACTAGACTAGCCAAGCCTAGTTCCTGTAACCGTTCTTCATATGTTTTAGTCTCCAGTCCCCTAATCATCCTGGTTGCCCTTCTCTGTACTTTTTCTAGAGTCTCAACATCTTTTTTATAATGTGGTGAACAAAACTGGATGCAATACTCTAGGTGTGGTCTTACTAAGGCTTTATAGAGTGTTATTTGTACCTCACTTGATCTTGATTGTATCCCTCTGTTAATACAATTTAGGATTGCATTAGCTTTTTTGGCTGCTGCTGCACACTGCTGGCTCATATTTAGCTGGTTGTCCACTAAGACTCCAAGATCCCTCTCACAGTTACTGCTATTGAGACTGGTTTCACCCAGTCTATATGTGTACTTTTGATATTTCTTGCCTAAGTGTAGGACTTTACTTTTCTCTACATTGAATTTCATTTTGTTAAATATGGCCCAGTGTTCTAGTCTGTCAAGATCCATCTGGATCTTGAGCCTATCTTCTTGTGTGTTAGCTACTCCTGCCAGCTTAGTGTCATCTGCAAATTTGGTAAGTTCCCCTTCTATTCCCTCATCTAAGTCGTTAATGAAGATATTGAAGAGTACTGGGCCAAAGACGGAACCTTGTGGCACCCCACTGCTTACTTCCCTCCATGTAGACTTAGGCCCATTAAGGACTACTCGTTGAGTATGGTTTGTCAGCCAGTTGCGAGTCCATCTAGTGGTGGTGCTATCTATTCTACTTTTTTCTAGCTTACTAAGAAGTAGGTTGTGGTCTAGATCAGGGGTCGCCAACCTTTTGGACCTCAGGGACCACCAAACTCATAATTTTAAATCCCAGGGACCACTAACCGGTTCTGTTTGCGTGGCCTAATTTGTGGGTGTGGCTTGGTGGTCATGTGACTGGCTGGGCATGGCTTGTATGTAAATATTATATTTATATAAATATTGAATTTTTTATAAAAAAAGAGCAACTTTTACCCAAAATCAGACAAAGCAGGCAGGCAGATCACAGATTCATTCAGAGATCTATCTGCCATTGGCTAGCTCAATCTGTCACATAAAATTTGCTTGCAAGCAAACTCATAAAATTTGCTAGCAAGCAAACTCACAAAATTAACTCACAACACACCATGTATGTAAAATTGAATTTTTTATAAAAAAGGGCAACTTTTACCCAAAATCAGGCAAAGCAGGCAGATTGAGTTGCTCACAGAATCATTCAGAGATCTATCTATCTGCCATCGGCTAGCTCAGTCTCTCAAATTTGCTTGCCGTGAGTCTGCACTGAATTTGCTTGCAAGCAAACCTTCAGTCCTAAGGGAGGTTCGGCTGTGCTGAGCCGAAGATGTAAAGACTAGCTAGAAAGCAAGAAATCCAACCATTTCCTGCTTCCTAGATAATCTAAATCTCCTGGCAGAGCAGAACAGATGATGGTTGGAAAAAGGAAAAATAGCAATTTAGCAGGCAAGTTTGTTGGGTAAGGAGTGAGTGGGCGGGGAGGGTTCCGGCGAGCCATTTGGGCGGTGCAGCCTTGTGTTTCTGTGCAGCCTGGATTAATTGTTTTGCGAGGGTGCTCTGGGGATGAGATTTTTCTGCGGCCCACCAAAATTTTCTCACGGCCCACCCGTAGGCCGTGGCCCACTGGTTGGCGACCGCTGGTCTAGGTTGTGGACCTGAAGAACCAGGTCTTTAGCGCCTTCCGGAAGAGCGTTAGAGTGGGGGCCATTCTAATCTCTGGGGGAATGATGTTCTAGAGAGAGGGAGACACCACGGAGAAGGCCCTTCTTCTGGGTCCCACCAGGTGTATCTCCCGAGGGAATGGGACCTGCAACTTTCCTTGCCTCCATTTACACATAAAGAAACTAGAGTCTCCATTGTGATTGTTTCCCCACTGTCATAGCCTACAAGACTAAACCATCTAATACAATAACTAAACTTTAAACTATAGCATTCGTATATAACCATGGCAATCTGCTTTACTTCAGCATGAAACAAGACCCATGTGCTATAGACTCCAATAGGAATAGAAATGTGGATATTTAATATTTATAGGACCGAAACAAGAAACACCGTTTGGGTCATTGGCTCCTAAATGATGGTGTTTCTACCAACAGTTTATTAGTATCTAAAGAATGGCACATTAATAGACGATAACTATCATGGCTAATTTGAATGCAGGTGATTATCTAATAAGTATCAAAGGTGTAGTTATATGTTACAAAATGTTAGCAACTAGGACATGATATGTAGTTTCACTATGCATGATATAATGCAATGGGGGAAACCTATGAGAAAGAATTACCAGAATGAGCTAGCAATTGAGGCTCTAATTCCAAAATACCCTTGGAACAATAAATAAGTCAGACTTTGGACAAAAATAATCTGGTCTCCCTTTGAAGAGCTTAGTGTATAAGGAAGAAGAGAGAAAGAAAAATCAGTTTGAGAGAAAGAGAAGAAGAAAGTACCAGTAGTAACCATAGAGTATGTGAAAAGCATGGTGTATCCGATCATCACTGTACAGAATTATGCTCAAGAGATGGAACCAATCCACTCTTTTATCTTAGTCCTTTTTAATAACAAAATAATTTAGAGACATTCTTATGAACGACACTGTTGTATTTTCAGCAGTAAACATACAGGCTCAATGTTTGATTTTTATTTATAATCAGGTGGCTTAAAAGTATGATACATTTCGCTGCCCTTCCCTCCATAGGTATATGGTTGTCAACCTCATTTTCCTGGGCTTTTCTAGAGTTTCAGCTTAAAAAGTGCAGTATTCTTTATCCTTCAGTAGTCAGCAAAAACTACTAAGACGAATACCAAACTGTCTACAGTCACTGTATATTCCCTTTCCACAGCAACTGCATTTTGAGAGGCTTCTGTCCAGCTATTAAGATTTTAGAAAAACACCTTAGCAAGCAATATACTCTGTTTAGAAATATCAAGTCAAGCATTTCTTACCATCTGTGTTTCCTTCCCCCTTTTTCCCTTTACTGGTCACCACTATTTTCTCCTCTGGGGGCATCTGGGCAACCTTCTGCAGAAATACTTTTTCCAGTTCTTGGGCCATGAAAACAATGTCATCACTAGGCTGAAAGATAAATGTTGGAGCCTATTACTGTCCAAGGTAAAATTGCTCATAAAGTTGCTAGATCAAAGGGAGAATCACATTTGACGGTTAAGATTGCTTGGAAAGGAATAGTAAAGTGAGATTTACAAACATTAAATTCATTTTGTTCCCCCATTACCTCAGCCTTAACTTTAACAACTTTTCTTGTACATAACTGTTAGGAATAACATAGGTTACCTAATGTGGTTTGGGTAAAATAATATATATAGACTATGATAGTGAGTTTATGTGTGTGTCACTTTAACTCCAAAGCATGTAATTTTGGGTGCGGCTGTAAATCACCATAAGAGGGAGGAAGAGAACTTGATTGATTCCTGGCTTACTGGATTGCTTGCAGAGGATGATGGATTGATGGTTTGATAACTGCGTTATCCCTGCTGTTGCTGAAGGAAGAAAAGAGTTTTTACTTCTTATCTCTACTGCGAAGAGCTATATTACTGGACTGATATTGTAAGTTTACTGATCTCTTTCTCGACACTGGACTTTGCAACTGATTAATCCCTGGACGGACTGAACTAGTGTATGATATATGGACTGTTTGACTATGCTAAAAAACTCTTTACTGGAATAAACTATTTAACTAGCACATTGTATCTGTTTTACTGAGTGTAAACTACAACAACGTTTATCTCACATATTTGCCTGCCTGCCTGACTGCCGTGCAGGTTCTGCTAGGGTGTATATCCCTAACAATAACAATGTCCTAAATTCATAGATTTAGGGTTTTCATTTCTCTTGCCACTACATTTCTCGGGGTAAATGATCATGAAGCCCTCAATTCTCAGAATGTGTAAGAAAACATTATTTATACCAAAAGTTGCATTTTTTTAAGAAGTCACTCGGGGCTATAGGTATTTTTGAGATTGAAGTTTTATTTACATGTTTCAACTTAAGAATCCCTGACACCAGTGTAACTTGGCATCGGAACAGTAAAATCATACCCATCCATATGCAGATATAATTGACAGAAATTGGTGGAAAGAGGTAAAAGAGACAGTTTGAGACAAATCATTAGGCAATCTCATGTAGCTTCTGCAAATGCATTCTTCATGCATGTTTTCTTGGTGAATGGGTATGATAAATAGACTACTGAATGGGTATGATTAAATAGACTTCTAGAAAAATAAAACAAGAAATAAAGAATAAATAAAAGAGTTAATAGTCAAGTGGAAAACAAACTAGGAAAAAAGAAAGAGCCTGTTTATACCTTCCATTTTCACTAATCCATCATGGCAATAGGTGGCGTTGAAGAAGCCCAAATACAGGTAGTCCCTGTTTAACAACCACGATTGGGACTGGCAGCTCATTTGTTAAATGAAGCAGTCACTAAATGAAACTGGGACTGTGCTTATAATCTTATTTCAGCTTTCTTTTGCTTTACAGACATACAAAGGCTATAAATGTGAGGGTTGGTTGCAAAGTTACTTTTTCCTCATCATCGTAACTGAGAACAGTTGCTAAGCAAAGCAGTCACTAAATAAGGACTAACTGTAGCCCAACCAAACGTTTGTCAAAAAATATTTATATTTATAGATATGGTCATCCAAGGTAGATACCTTATTATATAAATAGCAGTTTGCAAACATTGTCTTGAAGTTTTCAATGCATTCTGCAGCACATGTGTAGTATTGATGTTCCAGACGTTTCTGAATTGTGGTCAAGTCCATGGGCTCTTTTACAATATTATAATAATCCTGTATGTTTTAAAAAGAAATAAGAAGCAGAGGAAAAACAACATATGAGGATTGTAGATTTAAGAAGCATAGTTTGTAAGTCCAAGGTATACATAAGTTACATGAATATGGGGGAGTTTGAGAAGGATTTTTCATGTGAACAATGTCATTGCCTGTTTTAATATAAAACAGTGACTCAACCAAGGTCCTACTGAAACCTAAATCATTAGTAAATACATGAAATAAGAAACATTATATTTATAAAAGGAAAATTCAAGTAATTGCCCTCAAAACAAGCTAATGAAGAACCATCATATCAAGATAAGATAAAAATAATGTTTGAACCACATTTCAAATTTCACTTGTCTCTTCTCCCATTTTTTATTTTTTTTTTAGATTTTTAAAGTGTTTTTTTTAATTTCAAACAGTTGTTATATGATCAGCCGTAAGTCGAAGATTATCTGTACTTGAATTCCATCAAAGAGTAATTTCACAATAAGCAGCACTGTGTGCACAAAAGATTCTCAAACTGTAATAATGGCCAGCTCATACATCATTTGTGATCAAAGAAGCAAAGAAGCAGTGTCAGTATGTTTCTGTGGCCTTTGAGAATCTCATTTTAGTGATCTTTAAGTGTATCCTAAGTTTTGGGAAATGATAGATTTCTAGGGATTGTTAGTGTAGAAGGTAGACAGCAGATAGAAAAGTAGGTTTTTAAAAAAACATTTCCTATTGTTCTTTTAGGTCTTCTTAAAAGCCCATAGACAAAAGTCTACCACAGTGGACAAGTCAAGGTTGATGGTGTAATAGTTTTACATGCAGAAAAAAAATCATTTTAAGTGTCTGTCTGAGAAATGCAAACAGGCAGAACAGGCCCAGAGGTAATTTTCAATCCTAAATGGTTATATTAAGCTCAAATGACAGTTTCTCTAGAGGTCCAACACCAGATATGCAAGGTGGCAGTCACTTTGAAAGCACTTTTTGGATAAACTGACAAGCTGAATTTGCTAGAAATCAAAAATGGACATGTGTCTGCGGGATTTAGCTTTTATTGAAAAAAAAACCAAAGCCCTAGAAAGATTTATAAAGGCCCAAAAGGTTCAGATATATTATGGCATAGCTAAGAACAGACAAAGAAATGAAGGCCTGGATATACCTGAACTTCAGAACCAGTTACTAGTAGCAGGGGTGAACTATCTGTATAGATGAACTAAGGGGATACCACATTATATAGGGCATTTCAAGAAAATTCCACATTTCAAGAAAAGAAAAATAGTTAAAAATTACATGTATGGAAGTACTAATTACATGATTTACACCTAGGGGTGCTGATTTCTGGTAACTAGTTATTACCTACCGTAATTACCATGCAGTATAATGCCCGTAAAGAAGAATGAGAAGCTTTATTTGATAATTGGGAGGAATGTAATATTAAGAAGTCTTTCTTCAGATCATGTTGGATCCAGCTGTGATTGCTAGGCATACCTACCTATTTGAATGGCCCTATTGTTAGCCACCAACAGCCTATTTGGATGATCCACCACAAAAACCTAATGGATCTCACTGCTTTCAAAAAGTGATTAGAGGAATCACCAGCTCCCTTGGCAGAAAGCTCTGTTCAGTGCTAGATGAACCAAGTACTGAACATTGTTCGTTGCCCCTGAAGAGCCTCTTTCTAGGGGATGATCCCAAATTTTGCCTGTTGACTGAAGTCCTCTGGGAAATAAAACACCAAAAATGATACCTGAAGCGCTGGTGGAAAAAGGCAAGAAACCAATCTTATCCAGCATGGTAGGTATCCCTCTTTGGAATTACGGTGTGGCAATAAGGAGGCAAAATGTGTCTACCTCTCTTTCCCTATTGTGTTGGAAAGCTATCTTCCAATAGCATTGTTTAGCATTAGCAACTCATTGGGAAGGAGAAAGATTTGAGATCTCTTACCCCACCCCTGTGATGATAGCAAAAGTAAATAAAGTAAGATAAACTACAATTACAATTACTACAATTGCTTGGCTCTCAGTGACCAACTTGCACAGCATTTTGCTGACAAAATTACTCAGATTCACTATAGCCCCCTTAATCTCAGCACGTAGACAGACTCAACCGTAGATTCAACTGGGAAACTGAGAATCCTAGACCAAGCTAAATCCCAAAAACAAACAAAACAAAATCCCCAAACCCCTAGAGAATTCGTGGAAGTTTGGCACTCAGATATGACAGCCACATAGAGATAAACTACATTTACACAGTATCCAAAAGAGACAATTAAAAAAGCTAAGGAGAAAACAAAAAGATCAGGACACATTCCATCCAGCAGCCTACAACTAGTTCAACAGGGATTAATATCAGACTAACAACCAAGCAGAAAACAATGTCCTAATCAAGGAACTACCAAGAAGACAAGCAAATAAGCAAGTCAAGCAGATAATCTAACAGAAAACAATACTCTCTAATCAAAAGACTACCAAGGAGAAAACCACACCCCCACTAACACTGCAGGGCAACCTATAAACAGAGTGCAAACCCCACACCCCTAGCACTGATATTACCTAATTGGGTATATCTGCAAGCAAACAACTAGGCTCAGAGTGTGCCAAGGACTCCACAGTTCAATGCTGAGCTACAGATATTGTCTTCTATTAGTACCTTTGTATACATTCCTACATCTTCATACAAAATACTGTAAAGGAACTTTTTTAAAAATAGATTTAGGTCATATATAACAGAGTTAAATTTGATTGGGTTGAAGATAGTCAAAGAATAAAAAACCCTCTACACTTGGCTGAATGCCACATACTTGTGGTGGGGTTTTGTTTGTGCTTCTCATATCCATGAGAATTTTATATTAGAATTCTGTTAGTAACAAGTTTTAAAAGTGCTGCTGTTTTATGACACATTGTAAAATTATATTAGACATAGGTCTAAGTTTTTTTTATACTTGAAAGGGGACCTGTATCTTTCAGATGATGCTGAACTATAATTCCCAGCATCCTTCACTATTGGTTATACTGTACTGCTGAGTGCCAAAGTTCAGAAATATATGGACAAAGATAATTTCTATCTCTGTCTTATAGGGTTATTTGTATGTATAGAAATAATTGTATAGCAGTTATTTCAATATGACATTCATGCTTCAATATTCAGCAGAGTTAAATGCTGCAGTACTAAGCAGATTATATCTTGAGATAGAATGGAGTATCTACCTCAACCATTACAATGTTGGGGAAAATAGGTTAAAGAAGGATATCCGGTAACACATGGCCTGTGCTACATTGCACCTCTTTAGCAAATGATTGTCCTTGACTGGCAAGGAAATTTTTGTCATTCAAGTTGAAGTAAAAAATAGACTTTCTGTTTGTTGAAGTCCTATACTGGAAGATAGTGGAAGATTCTATTCAGATAGGATTAGCTGTGTGCAGAATATACAACAATATATTTATATTTACTAATTTATACAGTTATACACCACTTCCTGCTGTTGCTACAAAGTCTTTATCTTTGTCATTATTTTTAAAAGAAGCATATTAGTTTTCATTTTTGCTTGGAGTAAGAGAATATGCCACAGATGACACCAGTGTACTTGTATTACCAACATTTCTTAACAATCAACTTTACATGAAATTACACTGTTTTTCTTAACACAGAGACACAAATTACTGGAAATACTTACTGGAAGTTTTAGGGCTTCAACATCTACAGGCTGATGAAATGGCCAAGAAAAGTTGTGCCTCCACATCGCTTTCATGACCGTTCTCTGTAAATATTGAAGCTGGTTGGTTAAGCAGCCTGTTCCTTCAATATTGATGTAATTTGGAGGAGGAGGATTGAGAATTGTCACATGCTGTGGATTTGAAGCAGCCATCTTTATTCCTGATGACTTTCTGGTGTCAAATAGTCTTCTTCCTCTACCTCCTTCAGACAATCTGTAAAGAAAAAGATTTTCAAGAGACCAGTTGATTCATTGCTCTCTATCTCACTGATTTATTGGTTAGGCCACACAACAAGGATATATAACATTTATCTATGACCCATTGTTGTCTCTGTCAAACATGTTGGTTCAGAGAATACAGTAAATCCATGTTTCAGTTTTTACCTAGTATATAGAGTAAATGTAATGGTAGTTTTAAATAAGAGCTTATAGTTCAGCATAATGTTTGTATCAAGCCATTTGGCTTATTCAACAGACAATAGGATTTAATGGGATATGTGAATTTATCCAAATGCTACTAAAATCTGCTTACCAGTCAAGTTTTAAATTGAAGGTGTATTACTGAGGATGCAAATATTTTAGGAACTCTTCAATATAATTTTTAAAATCTTCTTTAACCTTAAGGAAGCCAGAAAAAACACACTGACAAGACCTCTCTATGATATCTTTGCATAAAACATGCTTAGAATATTATTGTAGCAGATGATCAGATTGATCCTGAGGGAGGGGTCAAATGCATCATCAGTCATGAGTCCCGTTATGCCCACAAGAGATCTAAGTCTCTTTGAATTCCACTTTGAATCCCTTCTACCCTTAACTACTGTCCATTTCCGTTGACCATCAGTAGTTCAGATTCTTGTACAGAGATTAAGCTTGCAATAAATCTTAATGCTTATTTGAACTACCTGAATCTCCTGATTTCCCCAGGGCTTGACATTTATTAATGGAAATGGATGAATAATCTCTTAAACAAGGAGCAAGCATCTTGTTGGATATGCAAGAACTCCAGCATATAAAGGCTTCTGAGCAGTTAAAGAAAAAGATACCTACTAGACTTTGTATGGACCTAAATTACTTTTAATACTTCAGGGCTTATACTATGAGCTATTTTCCATGGTGTGGAATACATAGTTTATGTAGGCATCCTTGCCAATTTGAAATAGATTTGTCATTCTTCTGAGTCTCCCAACTGTCCTCTCAACTGCCATAGAATTTTCTATGCTAGGAAGACTGATCAAACTATGTATCTGCTCTACCTGGAGAGATCTCTCTGCCATCCAGCTAAAATTCATTATACCATCCGGGTTGCAAAAAATAGTGTTTATCACTTCCTGAGCTTATGTTTAAGATTAAGTGCAGATATTCTTCTAAAAATGATTTGATATTCAGTTCTTTGTTTTAAAGAGTTCCAAAAGGATATCTTCACATTGGGGAAAATGGGCACTGAACTGACAGATATACCTCGATATAGACACATATGTGATACGCAGGTGGCAAAATAATTCAGAATTTCCATACATATAAATAGGCATTGATCTTGCAGTAACTAATTAAGAAATGGACCTTGGAGTTGTATGAAGTACAGCTCAGTAAAAGTATCATTGAGATAGCAATGTGTATAAATGTAATCAATAAAAAATGTTGCAGATTATATGGATAACTTAGATGCTGTCTTTGGGAATCTTTAAGTAATCAAAAGCACTATTGCCAATATTATAATTGTCTTTATATAACTCTATGATTCAATTCTGGTCATGTCATATTGGAGGAGGTCCCAAATCTGGAAACTAAAATATTTGGAGGGTTAGAACAAAATCATGTCATGAAAAGTTAGTTTGGGCCTTTTTACTTAGAAAAAAGGATGGAGAGATATATGATAGAAGGTATGTTGAAAAAATGGGAAATGATTTTTGTTCAAATACATTTAATAAGTCATGAAGATAGTAAAGCTTAGCTGACCATGACTGATCTCAAAAAAACAAAAACAAAAAAAAAAACAAATCAGAATCAGAATGAAAGAATGAAAAAAGACAAGACAAACTACTTTTATATGATTGCTAAAAAAAAGCAATGTGGATGTTTCTGGAACACTCTCTAAGAATCAATCTCAACTTGAGGAATCTTCATCTTTCCTTCAATCTTAAATTCAATATGAGTCATTCAAGACACAGGAAAGTTTTCTTCCAGGTTATCATTTTCAAACAATAGAGCTACCCCAAAAGGTAAGACTTGATTGGGAAGATGACCAAAGCCATAGGCTGAATTCATACATTTAATTAAGTAATTTGATTTAGTTCAACATATTGTGAAAATATTGTGTTAATCATAACTATGGTAGGCACTCAGCTACACAATTACCTCTAAATTCTGAGGCAGAAGAACACAAACAATGAGTGCAAATTATTGATTATAAATGTTGTTTAAATTTAGAGATTTCACCATTTCCAATTAGTACTAAACCCATATAAAACCAGCTCTCCATTAAGGACATGAATTTTCTCTTTAGTCTTATGTTTACCCTAGCAAATGCTTATGGGTCCAGTTGATGGATTGCACTATGTCATAGTTTGCTGAATAAATCACAGGTTAAAAGGTTCAGACAACATAGCAAGCCAAATCAAGCCATAGGTTTGAGGAAAGCGTGGAGTCACTCAAGAGATGAGAACAGCATGAAGCAGCTCCCAGCTACTATTCCTCTGTATTAATGTAAGCCCAAGGTGTGTGGAGCAATAGAATTAAAAGCAATTTCAACTTTTCATTAAAATAGAGGTTTTATCAGCTAATTAACACAATCAGCCATTCAGATATGAATTCAAAGCCTAACCTGAGCCCACATGGAGCAAGTACAAAGGAGAACCAAAGCACCAGGAAGAAAAAAATTGAGCTCATAATTATGAGAGGATTAAAAGGTGCTAAGAAACTTAATAGAATTAAATCAAAGCAACTGTTAATGAAGATACTAAAACACTAGCATATTGTAAGCCACCCAGCCAATGGTTTATCATTTGTAAAAACAAAATCAATATAAAAGCTCTCCTGATTAGATCTAAGACTCAGCATCCTTTGCCAATGTGTTTACAATACACTAAACTATAAATTAGCCATCATCCATGTTTTAGAAGTGTATTGTATGAAACAACCAACGGTGATTTATTAATGGTTACATTTACTGTACAGTTCCCCCCTCATTAGTTTGTGTAAGCTACGGAGGAGCTAACTATGGCTAAGTAATTTATTATTTATTTTGTTATCCTACCTTAAATTTTTTTACAAAAAATAATTCAGGGTCAGTAAACATCTAATGCTTCTTCTTCCTCCTATTTCTCCCACAACAATAGACATGTGGGCTGAGAGAGAGACTTTGGGACTGGCCCAAAGTCACTCATCTGGCTTTCACATCTATAGTGGAAAGTAGGATTAGAACTCATGGTCTCCTGGTTTCTAGCCTGGAGCTTTAACAAACTAGTCATGTAAAAAAAAAAAGCTACAGTCATTTGGTAGCCAATCGAGTACACCCCAAAACCTCATGAGGAAGACCTGATAGAAACATAATTCTTCCACTCCCATTTGCCATCATCTGCATTTATGATATGCTATCTTTGATGAAGCAGCATTTAAAGTCTCAAAATTGCTAATTATTGAATTCTATGAAAATCTATTCCCATTGGAAAAGTACCCAAATTGTCAGCTATTGCCACACTTAATGATAGCAGATGCCATGGGATATGTAAAAAAATACTTGAAGGAATCCTGAATTGTTTCACGTTTCTTTTTAATGGGTGACTTTGAGTTCTAGTGCAGTGAGAGAAGAACATTTTCTCACTAATTTCATTTCCAATGGCACTTGTTATGTTATATATCTCTATTATGTTTCCTTTCACTTTTTAAAATCAAAATGCTGTCTTTAATTTTCTATATCTTCTCCAGCAATAGTAATATTTTTGAATTTAACAGAAATATACCCAGTTATGCATATGTTTCACCATATATGTTATTTTTATGGTACCCTGTAATTTTGATGACTTCCTTTCCTTTTGTTTTTACAATCAAAACCAAACTCGTTAAAAGGCCTCTTTTTACCACAAAAATGTGAGATCATTGCCAAGTCTTCATTTCCTCCACCCCTCAGATTCATGAATGTAGATTCTAAATAAGTATTACAAGCAGTTTGTTATTGTAAGTTCTCTTTGCTTCTAAGTGGAAAAAAACTAATATGTCCATACATATTTTATACTATCACAAATTCAACAAAATACAATGCTTCTTACAAATATTAGTCCCTTCCTAAGCCTGAAATAAAAATAAATACAACTGAAAACATATTGAATGGCACACCAAAGAAGTTAAACAAATCTGAACTTCATGCCTAGATTTTTTATTATTTCAGTTTTTATAATAGTCATAATTTCACAGAAGTAACATTTGTGTAAAGTTACAGCCCTATTACCTTCAGTCCATAAAAGGTACATACACCAAAAATGTTTAATGGGTAAGATATATTTTATTCTGGCTGTGTTCTTTCTTTTATCATGACTGAGTCAGAGGATGATGCTGGCCAAGGTAGGCAGTATATTGTGTTTTCACCTTGTATAGGGTGTTTTCCATTATCATTTACTGATGTTGGTTTAATTGAGGCAATTATTAATTCCCAATTTTTTAAGGAAGGTTAGCAATGTTTGTATTTTCAACTCCAGTATGGGGGCATACATTAGCACTAAAGGATTCTATTTAAGTTACAATATAATGAGGTTTAAATATTTATAGAGGACATGTCCTTGGTGAATTACTAAAGGTTGCTGAACTGGTGTTTATCTCTTTCTCCTCACATTAAGTTAAATGTATATGTCAAAACCCTAATGCTGCATATTTTCTTAGAAGTCCCACTCAATTCAATGGCAGTTACTTACAAATAAGCATGTCCTAAGACTGCAACCCTAAAGATTTGAACACTTATGTTCTGTGTTTTTATGAAGCTCATTTAAATGTAGTGATCATGGTTTGCTAAACTATGATTAGGCCAACAGATTACTTTCTTTTCCCTTCTCTTGGGAAGTTTCAAGTCAGGTTTTATTGTTGCTGCTAAATTCCTCTGATATCCAGAAACTTGCTGTTGTAATTTCTCGGTTAATGGCTAAATATCAGAGACAGACATATAGATAGGTTGAAAATCTAAAGCATTCTATTACTTAGCTCAATATAAAAGCCTGACAATAC